TGAAATGTTTGACTCATTTCCCAGACAATGTTTTGACATTTCTTAAAACTTCAAATCTTTTTCCTGACACTCAATAAAACATTATTTCTTTTGGGTTTTATTCTTATTTTCAATGAGCAACATATAATTCAGTAGTGTATTGTTTAAAATTTCATGTGAGTAAATATCATTTACTTTTAGTTTTTTGTTGTTGTTTTGTTTTTGTTTTATGTGCTTTGTATAAACTTTTTATTTCAATTAACACGGATGTCAGCCATGGCTACCCGTAAACCTGGAACGAAGAAAAATATGTTCGAATTCCATTTTGACACAAGTTTGGTTTGTCGTATGAAAGAGAGTGCAAAAATACCACATTTTATATTTTGTAAACATGTATATCATTAATCATTAACAGTCGTGACTGATGACTTCAAAGGTTGTTTGATGACAAAGTTGAACCCAGCCGTCCTCCAGGCACTGCGGACTAGTCTGCACTTAAAAATTGCCAACCTCCCCCACTATATAAAGTCAACACTAATACGTTTGTGAAATACCAGCGTGTTACTGCGCCCAATTATGTTTTCTCGTACAGTTGGCTCACCCTGACACTGTTGCTCACACCTTCCCTCTCTGAGATGTACTAGGCTCGCAGAGAACGCAGCATTCACGCAAGCGATCTGCAGATCTTTCGCTAGCTCTTTGGCTTTCATCCCCTCGACAGATCGCTGAAATATTCACTAACGTCATAACGATTGCAGAATACGGCATTGTCATTACCTGTTTTGGCACCATGTGTCTCAGGGAGCAACCGAGTAAACCACCAGGCTCACAATTCATGCACGGATCAGTCTCCTGAATCCAACTTGCAGTTAACGCTTGAAGATTGTGATTATGACTCACGAGTAGAATTATTCAAAAGAAACACTATTGCATTTTGAACATATATACTTTGAACCAATATATTATTTAAGTTACGATATTTTTTGCTCTAAGGAAATATTCTATAACTGGCACTAGCTGCCACTAAATATTAATAGAGAAATTGGCAAATCTCAAACATGGCAAAAGATTGAAGACAATATAACAATATATAAAAAAATGTTAAAAGTCAGTATTTCAGCTACAAATAATTCGTGACATTAAAAATATCCAAATGCCATGATTTTTGTGAAAGTTATACTAGTTATTAGAATTAGTTAGACAGATATTTGTTAGGTAATCGAACCCTTTCTTTGTGTTTCCACGAATGTGCGCCACTGACTGGCAGTCGGTGCGCTATCAGATTGCCGGTTCGTGTCACACGCCCGCCCAAAGGCTCTGGGAAGCACTTGCTGAAGTGTCGCTCGTCCCTACGCTTCGCTTCCTACTTGCACACGAGGAGAAACAGAAGTGATGAAACGTTGTCTTGCACGATCTTTGTACCACCTCGAGAAACCAAAACAGTACGTAGATTTACAAATACACGAACGGAACAAGGATTAGGAATTTGACAAACAGTTTTGGCTAATTCTAGCCAGGAACCCATTCGTGCGTTTCCGTACTCAAAAATATAAATTATGTACCGTTTAATAAGTAGTACTTTTCTCGTTAAGTGTTTAAGAATTACGTTTTGCTTGCTTCACTTATTGATAAAAACACTTATTATACAAACTTGCAAAAAATTGCACTTATAATGCAATTTGGTGCAAAAAAATATTAGAAAACTAATGGTGCTACAACAGCACTTACTTTCTATCATAATTGGTTACGGTAAATTGCTTAAGAAGACGCTTAAATGGGATAATATTTACATGTGTCTAATGAAAAAAATCAATCGGTTTCAAGAGAAATGGCCGTTAAAGTACATGACCACTTAATGGTAGATTTTTGGACAGGTTACACTACATTTCCGTTAAAATTTGACGGTGACTTTTTGCGGCATTTCATAACCTTCTCTACAAGGTTTCTTCAAAAAGAAGTTTGACTGATTTATTCACGGTCAGAAGGAAGGTTGTAGGCGGGGGCTCTAATGAGCTGCCCGGGGACTTTTCCATTCTTTTTTGCAAAGTCTATATGTGCGCCACGTGAACCAGTATCAAGTGTCTTCGTCACACTTCGACACGAAAAATTTATGCGAATGAAGAGACTTAAGCGATTTATTCGAATTACACGATTAAATTCTGCGTTAAACCGCTAGAGAAACAACTGAAACAATCCGTACAACTCGGGGGATGTTGCCAAGGGAAAATTTCTGAATGTTTCTGAGTGGCACAAGTTTTTCTAGTGAAATAAATAAAAAGGGAACGAAGTAAAGGAAAGTAAGAAAGAAACGAAGAGAGAATAATTTATTGAAGACGAAGACCATTCAGTTGATTCACAGGGGTTAGTTCCAGATGTAGAAAACGTAAATTCAGAGTCTTCGAACGACTACCATATCGCACAGCTATCGTCAATTTCTCCACGCTTCTCAATGGCAATGTACACTGAGCCCTTGTGAAGGGGTACCGGGCTGGAAACAACTTTTTGCCACCATACATCGCAGGTGTCGCTCTCCCAGACTTCTTCCCCTTCCCTATCCCGCATCAAGTCCATGCTGAAACGAAATCACCATGGCACGGTCCAGGCAGAAGAGCAGACCGTGAAGAGGGAACTGAATATAATTCCAGATGATTTGAACCAGAAAACCCAGCAAGAGTGCAACCAGGAAACCCACCTTTCAAGACCCGCTGGAGACAGTGCATTGATGCACAAGGATTCCAAACGGATAAATTTGTTGCAAGAATATTAAAAATGATTTTGTAATCGAATTAGCCTGAATACTTTTAGGATAAACATTTGTATGCTACATGTACGAGGATGTACAAATTAAGCTACACTTAGAATCTCTTGTATTGTTTTATAATACTAGGCGATTTAGCAATTATTAATTAAATAGTACTGCGAAAAAAGAGAACGTGTAAATAATTTTCCTGAAATAATGTATTGAGCTGCACCCAGTATTTCCATCAAATTCGGAGTAAATACAAAAAATAATCCAAATTAGACTAATTCTTAATCGACAATTAACGGGAAAGTAATTCTTATAGGAAATATTGTTACTAAACATGTAATTTTGTCGTTTAAATAATCTACAATTTTGGTGTGTTTGCTTAATGACTCTCCCTGCGACAGGGAAAATATCAAATAATCGAATTGTACCATTATTATGTAATTGGTTGTATGTAAATGCAAAGAAAAGTAATGACATCTCGTCGTTTCATTTCACAAATTTATAAGAGATTGAAGTTAATGAAGACACATCGGTCGTAAATATGCATACTGAATTGCCTGGAATTAATTTTTTGCTTGCTTTTGTATCCCATTGCACAATAAATTTACATACCGATTTCGTCGCCGATTACGAATCCGTATCTAACTTAATCCTAAAGGTTGGCATTATATCCAGTGAAAACATCGAAAATATGCACTAACAAATGTTCTGTAAAGTAAATTGGGGTACTTTTTCAACACAAACACCCCTTCACGTCCCGCCTAACCTTACAAATCTAGTATCATACCGAACCACCAGTTCAGTCTGGGTGACAGCATATTTCATAACATTGTTCCTATTTATAAATAGTTCACCATTTTTGAAGCCTAACAATTTAAAAATAAAACAGATATGAACATTTTATTACATTTTCTAGGAAGGTCGCGGGGATGTGATACTCAGTCTCCGCTACTGATTAGCACCCATGTTTTTTATCTCTCTTGAAATCAACCTCAACCGTTCTTCCTAACAAGCCGTTTGAGATATTCAGAAACACATTTAAACGTGAGAATAAACATAATCAATCACTTAAATTGATATTCTTCTTCTCGAAGTAGGAAGAGACGTTAGCGTATAGCTTTCTCCTTGTGTCGAAGTGCTTCTTGCTTTGAAGTTGTTTGTAGTAGCCGCACGCAACATACTACTGAGTGGAATATGTAAACGCGTCTGTTGGAGTGACAGCAGGAGACTGAGTAACTGCGTGAGTATACGTATGGGCGTGTAAGCAAGAGAACATGAGATCGTATCTACACACGTACGAATGGGCGAGCGAGTACGGATTGCGCGAGAAGTTCAGAGCGGTAGTAGGCAAAAAAGCGAGACAACATAAAAGCGAAAGAGGGCATTACTTGTGAGAGAACGGTGGGGGATATTCATATGCGAGTGTGTAATTAGGAGGAGAATGCCTGACTAACATTTCTGTTTCTCTCTGGATTTGCTAGATATATTAGGTGCTGCAGTAGAACTAGGTGTACAAATAGAAAAAAATCTGGATAAAATTTACCTCCTCCTTACCATTTCAAGTTTTAAACACAGAATGTACTATTGTTGTTAATGTTTTTGTAGTTATTAGCATAATTGATATCATGTAGTGTTTTAATATTATTATTATTGTTATTATTATAAGTAGTAGCAGTAAAATATTAATTACAAGTAAATTTTACCTTTACTTTAAACGTGAAACTGTACAAATCATGTAATGTTAAATTATTTGATACTGAAACTAATCATATACTCTATAATATCCTAATCTATCTGTACCAAGTATTACAGTATAATTTCTAGACCAATGACCCCATCTCGATCAGGTTTTTTGTTCCGTTTCCCTGATCCCTTGATCAAATGCTAAGATGGCATCCTGTTTCGCTCCTGAACAGTAATATAACTTCGCTCTCCACCCCAAACATCATATTGACTTGTCATACACGACTGTAATTGTATATGTGACTCCATAATAATAATAATAATAATAATAATAATAATTGTTATTATTATTATTATTGTTATTGTTATTATTATTGTTATTGTTATTATTGTTGTTATTGTTATTATTGTTATTGTTATTATTATTATTGTTATTATTGTTATTAAGAGAAGATATAAACTTGTCAATCCTAGGCAACCAGGCTCATACCCTACTTTCTACTGAACTAAATAAAAGCAAGTCGTTTCAGATCAAAAGGCGAACGAACGAAAGAGAACTGAATGATGCAGGGGTGGGTGCCTGTCGCAGGTTCGGGCGCAAGACGATGCTGCTGGCCGGGCTGGCGTTGGCGGGCTCAGCCGGGGCTCTGCGGGGGCTCTCGCAGAGCTTCCTCATGTTCCAGATATGCAACATCCTCGAGGGCATCTTCGGTGGCGGAATCTACTCCGCCGCCTTCGTCATGGGTGAGTTGCGAAGGAAGCACGCGCTGCTCACACCCCCCAACTCGCGATGAAATAGTCGATATTTCCGTTTTTCATTCGATACGATATTTGATTACGATATCAATAAAAAATAAAGAATAGATGCATCAAAACGTTGTTCGAAACTTTGAATAGTTATAAAAATAGCAGTTCACTGGCTTTTATAGAATATTAAAATATTTAATGTTAGATTTAACTTATTTAAATTTTATAACAACCAGAATTGCGAAAATTGAACTTTAAATTTTTACCATTTTAAATTCATGAAATGTAATAATTATGTAATAGACGCAAAATATTTTCTACGCATTATAGACAGTTATTGGAATTCACGATAGTCTAGAAAAATTTAGGAACTTCGATTAGAATTCTTTTCAGACTAGTGTACTTCCATTTTCTAGGTACCAATAGTTTTTATAAAACATTAGGATTGTTGAAATTTAGAATTTATTTTTAATTTTTAATTTAAGTTATTTCACTCTAATAATAAATTTTACTTTGACATTGTACTTTAATTGAACCCGTTTAATTAAATTCTAAATGTTTGTTAAAATTTCAGAGTAAAATAAGAAAGCCTTGCTGATACTTTTTGCCTTTTATTTATGTAACCTAAGTTACACGTTGACGCATGTTATTAATCATAAATAGTAATAAATTTGTATGATTAATATCGGCGAAAAAATCATGAGTATCATACAACCAGCACGATCACAACACATTCTGACATATTATTCAAAGCGAGTGGGGGTGAATTGTGGGTGTATGTGTATGCATGTGTGTGTGTGTGATGAGAGGAGAAGAAATCAGCTAGTAAGAAAGGATATCTCGTCTGTCGTATTCTATGTCCTGCGACAGAAGTACCAATTCTTTACCTCGCTGACAGATCCTAGATAAATCGTTCCTGAATTTGTTTGCCGTTAGTCTGCCAGGGGCAATGTTGCATCAGTTGAGACGTTCAACCAATAATTATATAGTGGGGCTACAATATAATAATTTTTTCGCGCATTATATGTAACGTTTGCAATTTTCGAAAACTCTGAGAGTTCAATAGAAATTGGACTTGCACAATTTTTGTGAACGCACTATCCAATAGAAAATAAAGAAACTAGTGCTACAACAACAGATATTTTCTTGTATTCATTATAAATATGCAATTTTCGAAAATTCAGAGTTCAATGAAGATGAAATCCACAACATTCTTTTAAAAGTACCTTTTTCTATCAGTGGAAGAAATAGAGCGGATATTCAGAAACAAATTGTTTTAAAAAATTAAAATTTCTTTTATTTTGCGCAAAATTACACGAAACCTACAAATATTTTCGAAAAATTGGGCATGACCTTATTTTAAGATCTGTCTGTAAAGAACAGATTTCATTAAGGAAAAAACAGGATCTTCAATACTGAAGTTGTAGGAAGACGCTCCCAAAAAATGCACTTTTCCCAGTTTCAAAAAGTCTTGAATTTCAAAGCACATGAGATCTGCACCATTCTCTTAAGCGTCCTTTGTACTAACCAGACAAGGTTTGATAAAAAAAAATTGGTTCTCTTTTTGAGAAAATTTTGAAAATGTTTTTGAGTCTTCATGTAAAGTACCCTCAAAAATCAAAATATCCCTTTGAAACTCTCAAAATCTCGAGTTTGTTCAGACCGACTGGGGAATATAAATTGTGGAGAAAATTGGATGAACAGTTCAGTACCTAGCATTGACCACTGATGGACGGGCAGACTGACGTTTTGCCGTCAATCAGTTTTTCGTTATCAAGGACGCACAGAACATGAATTATGACTATACGAGTGTTAAAGGAAGTAATGGACTACAGTATATAAGTACAGGATTTATCGAATTTTTCGTTACCAGGGCCCAGTAATAAGAGATTTTTTGCCGAAAATTCACTGCACTATTACAACGCATTGTCTCTTACGAAGTGCGAGAAAGTAAAATTGGAGTGATTCTTAGAATATCTTGAAAATGTCCTTGAAGCTTTGTATAAAAATCATCCAAAATTTAAAATATTAGTTCCAAAATCAAGGGATTTCGATATACGTCAGGTCAATTGGAGAATGCCAATTTTGATGAAAATCCTGTTTACGATTTAGCTCCAAGCAATGTTCAGAGACAGACGCATTGACGGACAGACATTTTACCCTAAACCAATTATTCGATTGATAAGGACCCACAAAGCATGTATTCTAATTACTGTGTTAGAGGGAGTCATTTAATACATACTACAGGAATAAAAATTATCCACTTTTTCAGTAACATTCACCTACAAAACGAAATTTTCTGCCCAAAAGTCGCTGTTTTTCCCTACCAAATTTACATAACTTTCTCTATACTACGTATGCAGTATGAAAGAAAGTAATAGTGAAACGTTCAATTTAGCCTCTAAGAGAGCGCAAACCCTTATTTCTACAAGTTCTTCTACCGCATTTGCTGCTTAGAAGCCAAATAGAACTATGCATTGTGCTTCAACCTAAACGGAGGATTTAATTTTGTTGGGAACGATCAATGGCGTTCCAGGGATTTTTCATGTTATGTAACTACTGATTTGCACCTAGTTGATATTTAGTATTTTAAAATATATCGACTATGGAAAAGCTTGAATTCGTTTCTTTGGAATAACAGACCGTCGACGTGATAACAGTTTAATGCAAAAGCCTCCAAATGCCCTCGAGCTCGGCCATCGTTGCATGTTACAACGATTTTTAATCTGAGCGTTCGCATGCCACCTCTATTGTGTGGGCCTGGCAACACCCTGATTTCGGAGAAAATGGGGCATTCAAATCGACGAAAAATCGATGTTTCCACACTCACTTGTCATTGCTTCTTTGTCGTGGGAAAACTCAAATACATTTTAAAACAACTAAACATCAAGCTGGTCTTCATGATACAATTCATTCTACAGCACATTCAGCCAATATTTATGACGTTTCTTTTAGAAAGTTCGTTAATTAATATTTCTCACACTATGTTCAGTTTTCTGCATCCACGCATTTATCAATTATCACCATTATTCCATTACCACTTATAGTTCAACGTTAAGTACAAAAAATTCATAGCCAAGATTGTATGCTTCGCTAGGCAAAATTGAATGGTCGACATTGACTGAAATTGAAATCGGACAAGTCAGAAAGCACTTAAAATCTGACTCTTTTAATGTGACGAAAAATTAATATATAGATGGAATTTACGAGAAGGATATCCAAACCTGAAGATATGAAATATAGTACCCCGAAACGTTGTGTGTAGACATTATTGGGTACACTGTGAAACCTACTTATTTTATGCAATCAAAAATAATTTTCACGTTTAAAAAATTTTATAATATAAATAAATAAACAATGTTGTCTACAGTAATGTAATTACAGAGATTCTAAAAATGCATGTCCGCTCTATGAATTGCCCAAATACCCTAAGGACAAAGTCTACATTGACACTCGTATTTCAGAAAATATAATGCCAACTCTATAAGTCAGAATTATAAAAATGTAGTTAGAATTGTAGAAATGTAGAAAGAAATGTAGTTAGTTTGAAATCGAATTAGTTACATGGAGAATTATTGATGTTTACGTGTGGGAGGGAATCAAATAAGTTGGATGACGTCAATGAATTTTCACATTTTTCACATGACACGCACCTTCTACTCATATACCAAATATTAGCACTGTCTTTACGCCACTACTCCACAAGAATGTTGTAGAAATACAGTATGTCATGCAAGCACGCTGAGAATCGTGGCTAGTTGGTTCGTAGCTGCTTCAAGAGTTCGTGATATAGCATCTTCATAGAATGGCCATCGTATGACTGAAGACATTTATTTAGTAGCATTTATTTATTTATTTCTACGCGACTCTAAGAAACAGCAGGAACGAGATCACTTTTTTTACGGAATGTTGTCTACAATTTTTGTAATAGTGTTCAGGATCCGCACGATCGATAAATTTATTACTGTGTAGTACTGATATGGCAGAGCATTAAATTATGTTACAGCTCGTATCAAACAATCCATATTACATTTATAAAGTTTAATTCTTTCAAATGTCCGTAATAAATTTTCTAATCAATAAAAAATTTTTACTACCTTTTTACAAGGTAGCAATACAGTACCACTTTAAGCTTCGTTACTCATGAATATGTTTCTCAGGCTCATTAAGCGGTTATATGACACTGGGAATATTACATGGGAAACAATAATGCATTTGGAATTAGTAGGGGTTGGGACAAGATGTATACATTTCCCTCCTTTTACCCGACTTCAAAGAAAGAATACGTTCTCTGTCCGATCCGAAGGTAATTTGTGTGTTAGCTCTTTTTTAATCGTTAATCAATTTTGTTGATTTATTTTTTGAATGCAAATCAGAATAATTTCTCTATAATTTCATTAAGGTTTTCATCAATATTCGATGTTCCAGAGATAATGGACAATCGGAGCGTAAAATCACCCAACCTTTGTTATCTCAAAGAAAACTAATGGATTTGATTCCGTAAAGGCTTTTTATAAGAGTATTCGTTGTGGCTCACACATTAGCAAATGTCCCAATCAAGTGACTACGAACATGCTTATAAGTGTAAATCGAAGGGTTCTATTGGTGCTAAAACAGCACGTACTTCCTCGTCCGTACTTTCCCAATTACGCAAAAAGGACGCAAATTTTCCAAAAATTATACATGACCTTATTTCAAAATCGATCTTTAAGGAACAGATTTCCTTAAGGCGAAAAACTATTCTTTTAATATATTAGTTGTAGGAAAACTTCGAACAAATTTTGAACTTTTTAATTAAAAAAAATCAGGGTTTTCAACCAATGAGACTTGCACCATTGTCTTAAAAGATCTTTACCCTACCCAAAAACAAAATTTAATCAAAACCGATGGAGCCACTTCTCTGAAAATTTGGAAAATGTTCCATTGGCTTCATGTAAAGTAATTCAAGGGGCTGCGGAATGAGCCAGATCGAATGCTGAATATCAATTTGGAAGAAAATAGACTGAACGGTTAGCCGTTACCGTTGTTCACAGACGGACAGGAGATCGACGGACGGAGAGACAGACAGACGTTCAAAATTTAGGTATCAAGGACCCACAAAATATGAATTCTGACTACACCACGTGAGAGAGAATTTTTTTCTAAATTTAGCAACTGGATTTATCCATTTTGTCGTCACCAGGCCCCTTAATAATAGCTTTTCTGCTGAAAATTCGTCGTTTTTCCGCGCAGCATTACTTAACTTTCTCTCTAGGACGTAGCGAGTAAGTAAAAATTATTGCAAAGTCTGATCCGAGTCAAGAGAGTGCCTGACAAAATATCCCATTAGGCTGACTGCATTTGTAAAAAAAAATGTTGACCGACTAGTGCTTTTGATTACGGAGAGAAACCCTTTACTTAAAAAAAATGGAATAAATAGTTTAAAAAAATAAAAGACCCTTGTATAATGCATCAAACTCGTAGAGAATTACAATTATCATATGGTATATCATTTTATTCATTATGATTTTAAAACTACGCTCTCGACTGATATCGAATCAGAAAAGAATGTTTCTTTGGCACAATTTACAAAAGAAAGTATTTAAACATAGCCGGCCGGGTGGCTCGTGGATGCCGTGCTAGCTTTCCGTGGTGCGATACCGGTTTCGATTGCCGGGCAGGGCAAAAATAGATTTGTAGCTTTCCATTACAACCGTAACAGTTTCTATTGCTGGGTAACAAAAGAAAGGCTATGGCAGGCCAAGTGTGCTGGATACGGTGAAGTGAATTCGTCATACTCGCCACATGCCTCCCTTACCTCGAGGCATATTAAAAAAAGCAGGGCCTTGGCTTGAGAACTTCGTTAACTAGCAAAAGTCGCTTTAATCCGACCCTAAAAATCCAAATACATACACAGAAGTATTTAAACGGAAACACATTGTAATTAATTTAAGTTAAAGTTTTCTTTCTGTCTATAGATTCTTTCTGTCTGTAACAATTTCGTCAGATGTTATTTGGTCTTTATTTTCCAGACAGAAATATTAAGTTTTTTGGGTTAAATCTACAATCCAAAAAACTGAATATTTTTGTCTATAATATATAGGTCAAATGTATAATAATAGGTAACAATAGGTCAAAACAATATGACATAATTAATTTTAGTAGATTTTTACTATCTCGCTACGGCGTAGAGATAATGTTTTGTAATGCTGCACGAAAAAACGAGGAATTTTTGGTAGAAAATCTATTATTACAGGGTAATGAAAAAGTGGATAAAACCAGTTGCTAAATTTAGAAAATAATCCTCTAATATGTGGTGTAGCCAGAATCGATATTTTGTGGGTCCTTGGTATCTAAAAATGGAACGACAGCCAAACGTCTGTCTCGGCGTCCGTCCGTCTTCTGTCCGTCTGTCAACAGAAGCGGCTAAATCGTTCTGCCGATTTAGTTCAAAATTAATATTCCTCAATCGATATGGCTGATTTCGCAACCCCTTGAATTTGAAACCGATATATACATTTTGGAGGGTACTTTACATGAAGCATCTGAGACATTTTCCAAATGTTCAAAAAAATTGCTCCGTCGGTTTTGATAAAGTGTTCTTGTTCGATAGTGTGAAGGACGTTTAAGAGAATGGTGCAGGTTTCATATAGGTTAAAATCCCTACTTTTTCGAAAACTGCAAAAGTTCAAATGGTTTTCCGAGTCTTCCTACAACTAAATTATTAAATATGTTTTCCTTAATTAAACCTGTTTCTTAATAATATATTTTGTTACAAGGTCATGTTCAATTGTTTGAAAATTTGATTTCTTTTCGTGTAATTTTGCTACAAAATACGGGCGAGAACTATTTTAGTACCACTAGTTCCTTTGGTCGTAAATATGGGTGCGGATAGAGAGATCGCCAGGGACGCCTTGCTTGGCTGTGCGCAGGTCTCGAGCTGATGGGCCCGAAGAAGCGCGTGCTGGGCGGCGCCATCATGAGCTCGTACAACGCCTTCGGGGAGATCGCCATGGGCGCCATCGCATGGGGGCTGCAGAGCTGGCGCCTCATCCACGCGGTCATCTACGGCCCGGCCGTCCTCTTCATCTTCTACATATGGTGCGTCAAGTTACTGCTGCCGTTTGCGACGCTTTTTGTTCGGGAGTCCGCAATTGGCTTTCTCGAGTACAGTGCAGCCCGCTTCGCGGCGTATTATTTGTTGTAGAACTCTACTGGCCTTCTGGCAAATGTCAAATGGCACATACAACGCACAGTTCAGGGGCTGTCCGTTTGAAGTCGAGTTCTTCTATGCAGTAATTTTCATTTTTAAAATAATTATTTATTAAATATGGAGTTTTTCGTGGATATAGCTGGTATTTACACGTACGCTAGTACGCATTCGTAATTATTTATTTACAAATCGTTTCGTGTAAACTGCTACTACATTCATTTTCCTACAGAACGTGGAATGTTTAATACTACTTACACCAGACTATTAATGAAAAAGTATTCCATATTCAACGATAAATTTTAAATTACTATGGAATTAATATAAATTCAAAATGAACAATAGAAAAATAATATAAAATAAGAAGGGACCGTCCGCCCGTCCGCCCGTCCGCCCGTCCGCCCGTCCGCCCGTCCGCCCGTCCGCCCGTCCGCCGTCCGTCCGTCCCGCCGTCCGCCCGTCCGCCGTCCGCCGCGCCCCGGCCCGTCCGCCGTCGCCGTCCGCCTCGCTCCGCCCGTCCGCCGTCCGCCGCGCTCCGCCCGTCCGCCCGTCCGCCCGCCGCGTCGCGCCGCCGTCCGCCGTCGCCCTACCGCTCCGCCCCGTCCGTCCGCCCGTCGCCCGTCCGCCGTCCGCCGTCGCCGTCCCCGTCCGCCCGTCCCGCCACGTCCGCCCCGTCCGCCGTCCGCCGTCCGCCCGTCCGCACGTCTGACCGTCTGACCGTCGTCCGTTTCGCGTCACTCACGGTTAAACCCCTTCAGATCCATCATTCGAGATAAATAAGGTTCATTTGACGCTTCTCAATCTCCCTAGTTGGGAATAAGATCAATTTTGGGGGTCGGTATCATAAGTTTCTGAGAAATTTCTCTAAAACAAGTTTTTTGTAATCAACTAAATGGCGTTTAGGGAGAATTACGGCAGAGGTGCCGTAATTAAACAGGTGCACCTACACAATAGCTCATTCGAATCTTCTCGATAAAACAAATCAATTGGCATAATTCTTCATCAGTTATAGCTACGTTATACTGTATGAAATCTTTAAAAATTAGATTTTTTTTACTGGTTTCAATGCCCTTACGAGAACATTGAAACGCTGTTAATAACTATCATTTTTGTCATTTACATGAATCGTTACGATTTGATTAACCACATTGACGATAATTTATCGTAATTTTGAAATGCGTTTTTGAAAAAAATTGTTAAAGGAGCGCCTATGAACGTTTTGGAGGAGTTTTGAAGCTTTTTATGGATATTCGATTCCTCTCGATGAGTCTAACAATTGGCTCAATTTTTAGCGGGATATTTCGAGAATATTCGTTAAAAAGTCTAGAAAAATAAATGTTTGGGGGATAATTAAGGCATCTTCAGAGCTAAAACGCTGTGGATTACTAAGTTGCTTTTCCGAATGAACGTGAATCCTTTCATGTTTCATTAAGTTGAAATTACACTTTTCTCATTATTGACGTTCGTTAAATGTACTAAAGGAAAGAATTACCATTTTTCAAATACGTAATTCCATCGATACTTTTCCATACATTATTTCTGAGAATTCACAAACCAGGTAGCTTTATTGCTTTTACAAAATATTTAAACATAAATTGCATAGAAGATACAACTGCCAACTTGAAAGTATCCGCCGCAGGAAGCGTATTAAGTATCTAGTATTTCTAGTATTACTATCTATCTCTCTAGTTCTCTTCCATTTCACACGTATATTCATACATGTTAGCTACGGTAATACCAACAAAACCGAAGTGGCAGACAAACGTACTACTAAATTTTTCCTCATTTACTTCTTTTTATTCTGCTTATCAATATCAGTGAGATTAACTTGACAAAAAACAAACTATTGTCTCGGGATCAGAAAGCGTTTTGCAGATTGTAAGAGTTAGTTATCGATCACTACACCGAAAAATTACTAATGTTTCCGTGGTAAGGGAAGTCAAGTCACACGAATAAATTCATTCCGCTTCATTTGCTCGATCGTGACTTTAGTCCATTCAATGCAAATTTCCCATGTACTACAAACAATAGCAGTTCAGGATCTTATTGCGGCTCACTCGGTTTCATTAATCCTACACACGATCGAGTTCGACCTGTTAGTCACAGGCATGGATATCAAGGTCAAAGGCTCAGGTATTTTTTCCTTTAAACGAGGTTCATTGAACGCAGCCATCAACTTACGATTAAGTGAAGCGAATATGGCTACTGCCTATGAATAATGGCAGCTTGGGAATAAAACAGTGCCCAATATTTCGATAATTCCAGTTCAGTCGACACAGCTCTTCTCATCTTAAGGTTCCATTCATGAAAACACCTGTTTTAATGGTTGCTTTCTTGTACCTCATTCCTGTCAGAACGGAAAATACAGTATTGAATTTTTTGGACAAGAAATAATTGATTGAAAAAAACTTTCTGGCGCACGATTACATAACTTTCTCTTCTTACGAAGAACTTCGTAAGACGAGAAAGTAAAAATAATATGCGAGAGCTCTGTCACACTGTTAATGTAAAAGAAAATTGAAGCACTTGCGTAGACCTATTCAGAGCATTTTCTTAGGTGATCTTTTTGGTTTATCTCTTTCTAGGGAATTTTGAAAACATTAAACGTTTCATTACGTTGTGAATTTCAGGCGCACAGCACTTCTTTGTTACATCAGCAATTGATATTTGTATTTAGTCATACGAATCAAAGCGATTCATGGAGGGTTTGTGCGAACATTAAACCTCTCATTGCCTAATGAATTTCAGACGTACAGTACTTACATCAGCTATGTATATTTGTAATTAGAGTCACACGAATCAAAACGATTCATCACTGTACGTCGACTTTCTGTAAATTTAACTTTTACATTATTTCTTTCACATCTCGAATACGTAAAAGTGATGGATAACTCGCACGATTTATTTTTGCTTTCATATTAGAGATATCAAGATTCCGTAGTGTATTTACTTGTATGAAATATGCTGAATTATATTCAATGTCCCTTTCAGAAAAAAAATTCCCGGGTGTACGTTTTTCAAACGTGTGAGAAGAAGCGAAAAAACACCACAATAACACCGCTATATTGAGAGAAATATTTAAAGCTACAAAAACACATGAATAATACTAGTAATTTAATTATCTGCCATTAATTATCTTCATTCAGAGCGTACTCCCCTTTGTTTATTAATAACATAATATTGTACACTGTAAAAGTCCCCTCTTGGAAATAACACTCCAGATGATTTTTTTAAATCTATGCTCTCTTTCCTACAACAAGCAGCAAAATTTAAGTGCGTTGTACGGAAATCTCATGAAGTGCTTAAAATATTCTTCCGAAATCGTACCAAATGTGGGTTTGAATAAAATATGATTTTATGTATTTTTTATTTTATATATTTTATATAAATATTTATTTTTTGATAAAAATATGAAAAAATTGTGATAAATACATTCGCAGGCTACGTAGGGTAATTCACTTGTTTTTATTAACATGTAACTTACATATTTAGAACTTAGTTCTGTAAATAGAAAATAACTTGAAAAACTTAATTTCTAAAAAATGAATACATTTGGCATTTTTTTCTGAAACGAATTAGTGAATATTTTATGTTGTTGCAAGAAATTTCAAATAGGTATGGCGTAGTATGGAATGTTTTACGATAGATAATGCTCTGCAAATTTTTAAATTTTCTGAAATAAAAATTGGAAAAAATGTGAAATTATGTAACAGTATCAGATCCAGTCGTAGCCATCACAGAATCAATACTTGTGAACTTTTTTTTCTGTATGTCTGCCACAAAATCAGTATGCTACAGTAAGGCATTCTTCATAATGAAACGAATCGACGTAATCAATCACAGTATTTTTTGCTCACAAGCTTAAAATGAAAATACAGTTCTGCTACGTATGTTAAATATTGTAAGATGTATTAATATTTAAAAATAATGTATTTTAATTATCTTGCCGAAGAATGGAAAAAGAGTGCATTGGAATACTTTGAATGTTACAAATGTTACTTAGAATGATCGACACACATCCATTCATGAGTATCTAAACTTGTTAGTTTTTTCATAATTGCAACTTCCCCTTGGTCAAGGTATACGAGTTGAGCAACTGACAAATTATTGGATACAAAACGTGTGACATTAAACTGATAAATTCCAATGCATTGAGAATATCCACTCGTTTATCATATTCCCTTTGTTTATCACATATCAAGACAAAATTTGTTTAGAATTTGTTATTCCAAACTCTTTGATACGCGTGCGATATTTTTCATATCATATCCAATGCCTGAATGAGTGTTTTTTAAACTTTTTTTAAAATTTTTCTACACTAGGCTTCTCCCTGAATCTGTGCGATGGCTTCTTGCCAAGGGCAAGAAAGACAAGGCTGAAAAGATCATGCTGAAAGCCGCCAAAATGAATGGAGTTCCGGCGCCCACAGATATGTTCAAGAGTCTTTCGTCTCTGGAAAAACTGAACACCGAGGTGAGTTGCTGAACGCAAATTGGCGAAGCTTCCTTAATGCCACACTGAGGTTACAAACCGTTATTAGCGTTTTGGCTCGGCCCAGCATTCCAGAAAAGGATAGCTCACGGAAAAGTTTCGCCTCCTGCCAGGCAAGTTTTTCATTGAGATTTGTGTTTTGCACTTTAATGGAATGTGGACTTGACTTCTTATGATCTTCAGCTGCTCCCGGCCTGGAGGATATTCTCGTCTCGTTGACCGAGCAAAGTGAAATTATGTTTTAAATTGACCGTTAGGTATTTAATCTCTATGTGTATACATTTGTTTCTTACGACCAAGAGTGTAGTTTCATTTTCTTCGAATTTGGAATGAGTCTTCCATGAGTTCTTTTAAACCTATGTATAAATAAGTATTTTCTTTTTTTGATATGCTTCCAAGATGTTGGCCAATTACGTGTTAGGTAGGGATAGTTTAAGGCGGTGTGTAAGGTTATTAATAAAATAATATATTCGTTTTGTGAATATAAGTTGTTGTCAGTAATGGATCAAGATAAGCATCCTCTCAGCATTTTAAAATGGTGTGATGTGACGTATCGTAAGAGTCCATCGTGTGTAGGACTGGCACTTTGGTTCAGTGCGAGGTATGGTCTCAGTAGCAAGTCTACGCCCGATAGACACCAGCAATACGCCGCACCAAACCTTTTAAAAAGTTTGACAAGATGCTTACCTTGACTCATTAATGCCAACTACTTCTACAATGGTGATGTGCTATTTTTGAGAATAAATGGCCTTGAAACGAGAAGAAAAATTCCTCGATACGTCTCATTATACATGTTTTAAATTCATGTTTTTAAACTTGCCATTTCATCAATTTTATTAATTGAGATCTTCATTAATCAAGATCTTGATAATTAATTTCTCGAATAATAAGTAATTTATTTGCTTCACTGAAGACTTCTGGTCTCCTTGTTCGGAGGCAATTTCCCACTGCTATATGACCACAAACCTAATAATTATTGATTGCTCTGTTGAAGGAGGACTTTGTACAAGTTCAGATTTCTTTGCAAAGTTTTGCACTTATTGTTCAATTTTTAATGACATTTCTTTGCTACCTCATTCGTCTTCGTTACTTCGACTGTAGATTCATTTCTTGCGGCTAGGCGGCACGTTCTCTGTCGCATTTTGTTGTTAATTTTTAGACATTACATTTGACCTCTGGATTTTTCTTTCATATACTATACATGAAATTTAATATTCATTTTTTTTGTCCTTAACACATTCATTACATCCTGAGTTTCGTACTAACATATATTTAACGTCGAAAGTTGTAAGTGTAAGTCACTTTTTGTACTAACTGAAGGTTTGTTTACGATTGCACGTATTTGAAAGGTATGGTATTTACAGGGACAAAGAAGGTACTTCCTCGAGAGACGAATTATGTGTCCAGAGTCCTTGAAAACAATATTGCCTTCCCAATGGCTCATTCTTTAAAGACTGCTCTGAAGAGCAGATGTCTGGTTCTTTTGATGCGACGTCCACTGTTCACAGAACTACTAGTAATTAATAGTCTTTCCGGCTTTTCTATTAAAGAGCAATGATGATTCATGTCCGTAATTTGATCTGCCTTTTAATTTTTTCTTTCTATGTTTGACTGTGAGTCCATCTGAATAGTACTAGATTCACATGCCAGAATCAATATTTGCCCATTCATCTTTTTTTATTACTCCACGTCTTTAATAATGAGCAAAGCTCTTCTGTCGCCCTCAAATCATGCAGGATTTGGGGAGACTTCTCTGCGCTAGTATTGTGAGAAACCTGAGTAAAGCATGAGTGTTTTCAACTTGTAGATATGAAATATGAACATAATACGGTGTAAACACAGCCCGTAAATTATTTAATCATCTCCGTACCACATAAAAAATTCTAAATCGTCATTCATCGTTTCATCACAGACTATTGCCACTTGCAGTGCCTGTGCCAGCTTAGTTGCCATCAATCCGTCATCTCTAGAATATGTGGTATTTTATGAAAATACCATCAATCATATTATTCTAAAGGAGTGTTATCATTTAACGTATTGCAAATGACTTCTTACACACAGAAATATTAGGGAAATACAAGATGTTAATATCATTAAAATCTCCAATACAATGTCCGTAAGTATACCATTTACTAATTCTTATTTTTTAATACTTTTTGAATTGAATATGTAATTAATTAAACAAAAGGATTTTTTATGAAATTTAGTATATGGTCGTATTGAGCATTTCAAATTCATAAATAATAAGATACATTTTTATGGAAGTTATTCAGTAAATAAGCATTCAAATGATGCTAACAAAAAAGTAATATATTTATTATAAAACTCTTCTAGAGACGTGGTAAACTGCGAATAGTAGTAAACTCTCCATGGTTTATCAATAATAACACGCCAATGATCCTGTCCATTAATTATATTGATTGTTTCACCACAAAACACCCCACACAATTTTTTATAGCCTTCACCGTCTCCGACACATTCCATTATGAACTCGGTATTGATTTCCTCCCTCACATTCGCATAAAAATCTTAACATATCTTCTTGAAGAGATTCTTCTTGGCTAGAAATCACTCTAACTAGTGTCTGACATTCCCTTTATTGAAATTCTCTTTTTTGACTACCGGGAGAGGTGGTTCAGGGCATCAACTAATGTCACTGTTTGACCGGAGTTCAGTGGAGTTCAGTCGGTGTCAGGAGGAGAATTCTAGCGACCGACGGTATTTTTCCATGGTTTCTCCGATCAACACCAGATGAATTCCGGGACAGTACCCTAACAAAAGGGCCACGAACCGCGCGCGATCTTTCCTTCCCTTCCTTTCTCTATCCTCACCCTTTACTTACACACACTATATGGACTACACTGCCACACATGCCGGGAGACCGGTCGGGAGCTTAGAGCTTGTCCCGACTAACCCTGATCGATGTTAGTAATTGAAGCTTTCAGATTTTCTGATAACTTCAGGATCTCGGATCTTGCTTAGATTGATCAATTATTTTTGTTTTCGGACGCGTCAAGAACAATTTTTTTCTTAAGTAAATAATTAAAACTAATTTAATTAATTACGTAAGTTTAGTGCGTGTTATATCCCGGAAGGTTTTGGTGTTCCTCCGCTGCTAGATCGTGAGATATGACGCTCACCTGGTCGTCAGCTGGCGGAAGATTCTATTCCAGTGACCTTCCACGGGATAAGCTCTAATTTCTCGACTGATCTCCCCCACATGTGTGGTAGTGTAACCCAAGTACGTTATGATGTGTAGAGGGAGAGGTGATAAAGATGAGAAAGAAGAGATCGCGCGCGGTCCGTGGCCCGTTTCTTAAGGTATTATTCCGACGTTTGCCTGGTATTGATTAGAGAAATCACGGAAAACTATCGATCAGAACAACCGTTCGCTGCATTTCTCCTTCAGGTAGTGGCTGAGTTCGATGTAGGTAGTGCTCAAAATCCGCCTCCGACGGGACTCGAACCCAAGCAACTCCCGGTCAGAAATGCTGCAGAGGCAACAGTTGCAGTCCTGAGCCGTCTCAGCCGAAATCTGTTTTAACTAGCCGAAATGTGATAATGGATATATATATATATATATATATATATATATATATATATATATATATATATATATATATATATTGTACATACTATGGACAACACACTCCGTTTCATGAATGATACTAATTTCACTCGACCCACTGATTTCAGTTTGCACTCTTGTACATAATGTGTACATCCCTGTATCACGACATTTCCGGTATTCTATGTACCAATACAGATGTTTTACGCAGTTGTTCTGCTGTCAGTTGGTGAGAGACTTCCCTTCCCTGTCAGGTGTCACCTTTTTATACTCTCCGTACTCTTCCTTTTTCCACGGATCTCAAATTTCACAGCAAATATTGTATATATTTTTCTTCTTCTTCGCCTTTAAAAACCCAATTTTTAATCTTGATGCACGATCATGTACAGCCATTCATTTCTGATCAGAAAACAATATGACTCGCAATCGAATAAGGTAGATAGGTAGGAAAATAGAGTTGAGATGGCTGAAAATCGATATTTCCTAGACCCAGGTTCGATGACCTATTTAGGGAGAATGCAATGCTAATAGTTTTAATTTGAAGGAAATATTTAATAATAAAGATAAACACAAAGTTTTATTGATACAATGTTTGTGTTGTTTAATGTCAATGTGCGAAATATTTCTCCATTTTTAGGGAGCTTTTATTGCCCTTAAATCTGAATGCATTCTAATGCATACGAGATTAATTTACCATCACAAAATGTCTATTTTTTTAAAGCAAATTCATTCCTTATTAAAAATTAATAAAGACTTGTTCCAACCTAATTTTATGAGTTCCCTTTTTGGAAATTTCCTTAATGACAACATTTATTATAACGGCGTGAGTTAAGTGTAACTACTTATGTTTGCAGCCTGAACCTTCTCCGCTTCCAGAGAAAGGAGTAATGGGCCAAGCAATTCGATCCAGAATACTCATGCTGAGGCTGATCATGTTATCCTTTACATGGTAAGTATATTTTTGCAAATAATTTTATTCTTACGAAATTTCTCGTTTTAGACATTTCCACAAAATCCAATTCTATGCATATTGTTATGACTGTTATGAAAAATGTCATAAAAAGTTAAAGAAAAGAAAAAAAACAATCGAAGATTGAACAGTTTTGATCAAGGAAGCATTAAGTTTCTAAATGTTAGCACCTTATCGTATACAATAAAATTGAATCTATATAATTTACACTATAGATGTCCCAGACCATCGGCATCATAATCTACGTATTCTAAACATCTTTTTTTTACTTTATCTTGTTGAAGAAACCTCATTACGAATATATAAGCAATTATTTCTTGGTACTACGCTTCATTATCATTTTAACGGACTATTCTCTGTCCTTTTTCCCTAAATTCGTTTAGCAACTTCGAATATCGCGCATCTGCTCCAAGAGATACTGTAGCAAGGTCACGGGTCGTAGGAATCACTTCAAGTACTTTTTAGTATCAATGATGTTGCGTATCTAAACGTCGAGAAAAATATCACCGCTCTCGCACTGGCGTGCAGTTACATGAATGGACGTCACTTTGACATTATTAGAATATACAAGGTTTCCAATGCAAATATGCAGACAAGTTGTGTTGACTAGACAGGATACAGAAGTCAACAGATTTCCGCGTGGTTGACGGCATTGCTTTCATTTGAGCGAAGAGCTTAATTTTTCTGTGCTAGTGATTCAACTCTTGTAGTCATGTAATTTGCATTTGTGCTGTGTCTTTCTGCATCTGTCTTTCTTTTTTTATCTTGCTATTTATGTTATCAGAGGTTTAATTTCCGCTTATCGTGCAGTGGGAAGAGATATACTGAACATGCATGTTTTTCATTGTGAAGTTGATATATTTTTTTTCAAATTAAAATGTTCGTTAATTAATGTTATGATGTTAAACTATTGACTGTTAGGCCGTCTATTTATCACATCAAGTCAAAAGAGTCAAATGAAATTTAGTTATTTCTGTTTCAGAAAAATGTATTAACTTCTCATTGGCTCTCATTATTCAAAATGTTCACTTTAATTTATTCTCACATACTCTAATAATACTTTTTTCCCACGTGGAGAATACAATGACTTTTGCGATGAAAGTTTGTTCATTTTTAAATATGTCAGAGTTTATTTACGCAACGTCGACATAACGGAACGACACTGAATCGCAATGTTTCGTCGACTACGAGAATGTAATCAAAGTAATAGAGTGACCGCGAGTATATTCCTTTATCCATCACTGGCGCAATCCATCACTGTACTGTTAACTACTTATAAAGGTTGTAGTTATTCCTGCAATACCCAAAATATTTTCAGTGCCCATCATTCAAAATCTAAAACGTATTTCAAAGACTTTTTTATATTTTCACGTTAATGAGACATTTTTGTGCAGATGACTTCAACTTCAATAATTCTGTATGTGTTACAAAAAATTGCATATGTCACGTAACGCAATCGACTATCGACAAAACCATGATATAAAACGTTATTTTCTCAATATGTTTCTACATTTCTTTTCGGGCTCGTCTGGAACAGATCGCGCCAGTAAGTCTCCACTTTAAAATTTTTTTACGACGTTAGGGTTCATTAATCACATATCCACATCAAACAAGCCTCTGAACAGAACAAAAAATAGCCTTTTATTATTGCTTTATGTAGAATGATAAAATCTCCTTTTCACAAGATTATGCCGCAATTTGGTCAAAATTATCGTTATTGCTTTGAATTTCTTCAAGAGAAAATACCTTCCTTCTATAAATTGATCCCAAAGAAAGAACTCAGAAGTAATAAACTGAGGAGTATGTATAATGTTTCATACACCGAGTCATATATGCGTGATAATATTTCATTTCTTCATTAGAACATTTTCCACTGCAATGCGAAATGCTATTGAAGCTGGCGAACTGCATGTAGCAAAACGAAACACGTCCAATGACAGTCATTTCTGCGTTAAGAATTTCTTGAGTTTTAGTATAACCGAGGAGTCGTTCTGCCACTTGCGTATATTGCAAGTGTAATCTGAGTATGTGTAAAAACAAACAAAAAACAAATTTGAGGTCAATTGCTCTGTCTAGTTTTGTCGAGTGACAGAATATTTTCAAAAGCCCCGAATACTAATGAATGCTTTAAAGCCAAGGTCTGCAAAAAATATCCCAGAAGTTCAAAGTCTAAAGTACACAATGACGGAAGCTAAAGAACGTCAGCGCGCATATGTTTCGATTTAACCGTCTGTAAGTCAGCATGTTCCATGAGATAGTTATAAACTCTTATCTGAGTTAATTGATTGCTCTATATTGGACGAGATTACCGTACGTACATGATTCAAAGTTCATCGAAAATGAATAAGTAATTTTATATATTTTTAAAATAATAACCTAAGTAAAATAAATTCACTTGTGGTTCGAGGGAATTTTAACATTACATACAATTAGAAGTTTCTCATGACTTGCGAATTAAAACTTAAATTTAGAAATTGCTTATCAGCTGATAACATTTGAATAACTTACATTCTTCCGTAGTAACGGTATCTCGTAGAACTCTTGTGAATGAAATGATAACAGATGTGTCAGAATTGAATGACAAAAGGCACTTTCTATTTGGATTGATAATTGTTAAACACGTCCTTGTCAGACTCGTGGGAACTGTCAAGAAACCCAAAATGTTAAGAGATAGTAAGATAAAGAAATAATACATTATAACTTTTTTTTCAAAATGCTCCATGACATTTAGAACTCAAGGCGGATCGGTCAGGTTTTAATGCAATAGGTCATTATTGAAAAAAAACGTGTTTCTCTGACCCCCAAAACTAAAAACGAGTGGCATGAAAAACACATCTTGTGAATAAATGATAAGTGGATCGTGTAACGTCGTGTGTTAGGGATTACACCACAAGGAAACAGACCACGAGTGAGTATATACAAGTTTTATTTACATACTGTACATATTTACAACCCTCACTCTAAGGCGGTTTGCCAGAGCTACCACTGCAGCCCCTCCTCTCCTACATGCGCCTTGCGGCGACGCCTACGACCAGCCAGCAAGGCCGCTTCGTAGATTGGCACCTGGTGTGCCCCGGCAGGATTGACGATCTGCCCGAATGTGTTTGAAGAACACATCACCCTGTCCGAACTCGTCGAACAACCACGTGCCCTCGGCACTCCGCACCAGCCTGGGCGGACAAAGTTTTTTGTGTCTAGCCACGAGGAAACCGAACGTTACCCACTCGCGCGTCTCGCCACGGCGGTTTATAGGTCCAGGTCACCTGACCTCCTACGTCATACTCCCCACCCCCGCGCGGTGGAAAGCCTTTTCCCTGGCGCTGCCTGGCCCGCGACCATTTCCTGTCGGAAGGTCCCTTCTTTGTTTCCTATCTTTAGATCCCCCAGCCCTCTACCTTGCACTCGGCTGCTGCCAAGCCGTGACGCTACAATCGTAATCTATAGTATAATAAAAGATTTCAATCAAAATACGGATATTACCATGCTTCATTAACGTTTAAAGGGTGAAAAAGTGTCATGATGGTTAAGTTTCCCTGCACGTTTTTAAGTATTTAAAGATAAAATGTTCATAACCCAAAAGATATTTATTAATTTTTTGGGGTATTCATTTCTGAATCGGCGTGAGTTATAAAACATACTGCCTTAAAGAAATATGAGTGTTCGGGACCATTTGACCGAATATATCCTTCCGTAGTGTTATGAAAACGGGTACAAGGCACAGGTATTGAAGAAGAGAGGTCTCCGTCTGTTGCCTCCCATCTGATCCCAGGGAACTGCGTGGTTAAAACGTATCACCAGAAGTGAGACTTCAAAATTAATGATGCATAATCTCAATGTTATGACGATAATGCCTAACGATAACGACCATTACTACCTTTGAACCACAAAATGCTGAAGTGAACTCAATTCAAAGAGACTTCTTTCGTTTCTCTACTTCTCGAAATTGATGGCAGGGACGAAGATTTTTCAAGTATTTTGTTATCGTGTTAACAGATAATTACGTTTCGAAACCTACCAGACTATCCTGACCACTCTCGTAACAATCGTGTCATAATTTGCTTAGTTTTCTCATCTGCGTGAGTAGTAAGGCGTTCCGTCATCAGTATATTCGCCAATGATTAAGTTAATAAAGATGAAAAATAAGTTATTAATGCAAAAGGTAACTTCTCCTGAATTAATTAGTTTTACTTTATATTGCATTGGTAATAGGTTTGTTTTCTGTGTTTCCGTGCAAAAAATTTATCAAGAGAATCGCTGGTTGAGAGGAATTTCGTCCACAAAATCTCAGTTAACCATTAGAAATTATTTGATGGAGTGATAAAGTCGCTAACTAGTTCTTGTTTTTAAATTAATTCTTTTCAGTAAGTAGTACGTACAATTCACTCAAATGCAAATCACAAATAAAAAAAAATAACACAACGGCGTCACTATCGAGTAGTTCTCAATTCTCATAAAATTCTGCAGGATATATATATATATATATATATATATATATATATATATATATATGTATTAAAATATTGTAAACATCAAAACACATTAATATGGTTATAAATGCTATCGTCAACAATATTATAGGCGTAATAATGCTGATATCGAATTTTAAGAGAATAAATTGAAGGCAAATTCATAAATGGCAAGTCATTACTTCCAGGAAAGTCTTTTACTTTCTGAAGCTATTTTCTTCGCAAATCCAGAGAAATGAAACAAGACAACGACGAATAGACGACCTCACCTTGACAACTGAGAGCGGAATATGTCCCATGGCGTAAACCATGATGATGAGGTTGACGTTGATAAAGTTGACGAGGGTGAATTCTGGGGGCCCTATTTTGTTGGGGGCCTATCGATTCAGACCTCCTATTGCTACGTCTCTGCATGCCTTCGACCTTCATCCAGCACGGACGTGTGTTGCAGGGCGTCCATCAGCTTCGTGTTCTCGGGGCTGACGTTCAACGCGACGTCACTGGCCGGCAACAAGTACGTCAACTTCATGCTGGCCGGGCTCATCGAGATGCCGGGCCACCTGCTCACCTACTTCGGCATGGATCGGCTGGGCCGCAAGGGCACGCTGGCCGGGTCGCTATCGGCCAGCTCGCTGTGTTGCTTCCTCTTCATCGCCGTGCCGCCAGGTTGGTGCGCATGCGCGTGTGGCGCGGAGGGGGGGGGAGAGGGACTGGAGGAAGGGGGCGAACAGGCATGCACGTTGCGCGTTAACACGTTCTAAGCCGCACACTCGCGACCTTCCGGCAAACCTCCCTCGAACTCGCGGTGGAGCGTGATCAATGGCTAAATGAATGATCAATTGCTTGCGTGATGTGATCCTTGGTTCACATTTCTTGTTCGTGAATCAATGGGCCGATTACTCGATAATAGACCGGAAAACGATATCAACCGATAATCGAAACACTTATGAAGATGGCTCAAGCACGATTTTCACTATTACCCCTCAATTTTCAAAAAATGCAAAAGTTGTTTGAATAACTACGTACAACTACATTATTGAAGATACTGGGTTTCTCTTCAAATGAAAGTTCTGCACAATTATAATTATAATTATTGTCATGCACATTTCATTTTCAAAATTTTAGTATTTTCGCGTTATTTCGAGTGAAATATGGGCAGTTTTCAAAATTATTTCTCAAAAATCGGTTCCAATATTTTTAACGTATGTAAAGACATTTCTAACTCTACTGAAAATCACGACAAAAACGTATTTTGATGTACTAATTTGATTTTCTAAAACTTACAGAAATGAAATTATTTTTAAAACATCTCACGTTGACAATATTTACAACATGGACTTTTCCATGCTTTAAAGCATATGCGAGTACAAGGGTTTTAAATGATTTTTTATTAAGTTTTTCGAAAACTCTTAAAGATTTCAACGAAAATGAGCTCAAAATTCTCCATTTTCAGGAAAGCTCAAACAATTTTTTTTCGAAAACTCTTATCAACTTTTTTTAGACAGATAGTGCTAAATCTGCTCAATAACATGACATTGGTAGCACTTTGAATAATTCTATTGTTGTTTTGCTTTATTCAAAAATTACACCATTGCAATTTCATTGCATTGTTAAAATAAGTGGATAATCTACTCGAGAACCGTCTTATGAAACTTACTTTCGCGTTTGCGCTCGCGTTTGCGCTCGCGTTTGCGCTCGCGTTTGCGCAGGGGGGGAGTGGGGGGGGCGGGGGGAGTGGATTGGCGAAGCGGCGCGACCGCCAAGGCACGTGGCACGTGGCAGCAGGCGGCGCCACGCTGTGGCACATGGCGCAAAAGCACGGCAGCATATTCGGAATCGTGGTTGAGGGTTGAGAGCTCTAATCCAGCGCTCTAACCTTTTATCGACCCTGCCCTCCTACCGACTTGTTCTTTTTTTATTTCTCGTGTACAATGCATAAAGCCGTGACGTGCTGCGGAAAAAGTGCTGATAGACACTTTCATTTTGGGAGTCCCTAACACCAAAAAGTGGATTTTTCCCCAATGTGTAATTTATTTATTTCTCGCATACTTAGTAAAGTCAAAACCCTCGTTTTAAGGGACCTGTTGGCGAAAAGTGTATTTTTAAACATATATCTGTGAACAATTCTACTCTTTGAATCGTTCATAGAATTTTCTCCACAGGGAACCGTCTCGATCGATCTGGCCGCACTCGAAATCCTGCAAATTTGAAACAGATCTTTTAATTTGTGTGTGCGCGCGCGCGCACGCGCGTATGTGTAGGGAGGAGTCTTTAATTAAAGCCCTTTGGAGATTTCGAATAGAACAAAGGTTTCTTAATAAATTTCAATAAGTCATATTGTAAGAATATATATCCTTTGTGACAATTAAAACATCTAAAATTTCAAAAATTGCAAGACGTCAATTACATTTCAAACATTGTCTAATACATTCTGTGTTAAAATTAGATATTTATTTCTTGGTGCAAAATATTTCTCAATATTATATCTTTAAGTTCTTTCATGTATTTGTTTTCAAAATATTAGTACTTTTTAGTTAAATCGTGAGAAATATAGTATAAGTCCAATTTTCATTAAGAGACACGATATTTCGAAAATTGCATATTCGAATCTCCCGCGCGTTTTTACTGACGTTTTGCTGAGTTTTTCATAAGATGACTGAAAAATTAGAAGCAAATAATTTTCAATTTATAATTTTATTAAACAGTTACAAATAATGCGACGAAGTATAAGTCGTTGTAGCAACACTAGTTTCCTCTTACGCAATGACTTTTTTACTATTTTGTTTCACTGGATGCTTCACAGGTTTTTACTGTAATTGCTCCGTCTTGCTAATGTAATGAATAATTTTGTAGGCGATTCAGACATTTGTAGGAATTTCCTATTCAATAGTTCTGAGTAACTTAATACCTTGTAGAAATCTTTACATTCACTCTCGATTTATAAAATCGAACCAGGACATTGTAAATCACTAATACTACGAAATTCCATTTATTGTACCTTCCTTTTCTTGGAAGTCGCCTGGCTCATACCCACAATAAGCCGTGATTAATAAACCATGTCCTACTCATGCGCACATCCGTGTAATACATAAGACAAACTACAAAACCCCGCGCGTTTTTAAATCTCGCTTTAAGCACGTCCAAATACTGCGGACAGGTTCACGGTGCAGATAACCGGTTGCCTTTTCAGTGCCAACATGCGAGAAACTACAATGGCGTCATGCTCTTCTGACCTTCCCGTGACCGACTTCATTTTTACGATATCAACGTCGGAAATAAAACGATTGACGGCATCTTTCTCCTCCTGCATGCACCTCTATGGCCCTGCATTGAATCACCCGGCACTTTGTCCTAATTCCTTTAAGGCTCTTCGTTAGGAACAGTATTAACTTCGACGTGTACGCCAGCTGTTGCGACTGAGCGGTCTGTTCCTGCATCTTGCGTTCTCTATCTCTTGGTTCTTCTAATTTAAGTCAGTTCGTTGAATCATTTCTCAGCATAGTCACATCCTGACTCAAGTTTATACAAACTTCTTTTGCTCCCTTCTCCAGTTGGTGCCGACATTCAATACTAGGGCCAGGAGCTTGCTCTGTTTGTACGAAGAGCGGCTAAAGCTGCCCGTTAAGTATTGCCACACTTGCTCTTATAGTTATAACAACTTCACTTCCAATTACACACACTCCGCTTCTATCTTCTCTTCACGGATAGCGCCAAGACACTATTAATAAGCCCCGATTTAATAAACCCAAATGCCTACATGCGAAAGAGTAGCAAAGCTAAGACGTAACCCATGAACTTTATCTTTCAGAGGTGCAATTGTTCCGCAACACGTCTGCACTCTGTGACTTCCTAATGATTCCAATTGATCCAATTGATTCGACAGTGATATATATATATATATATATATATATATATATATATATATATATATGTGTGTGTGTGTGTGTGTGTGTGTGTGTGTGTGTGATGTAATTGAATCAATGAAATGATAATCAACAAAGTAAATTAGCAGTATACATTTTTTAGTGAGAGTAAAATTCATGCGAGAAATATATGGGTAACATTTTGTATTCAGTTTTCTAGCAGTATTCCTACAATATGTTTTAAAATTATATAAGTGCGCATTAGGAATAAATTTGATCCAACCTTGCACTGTATGCCACATTTCATATTTAAAGAATCCTGTAACAAATATATTTTTTTCTTTAACTACACGGAATTTTATCTTCCTAATTTACATATAAACGAGTTCAAAATTCAATGTAAATATTCGTAGAAATATTGACAATTTCATTATTATATTTTTCACACAACAAAATAATTAAATAATTTATTATAATAATATTGAATGCATAATTTGCCTCAGTTAGTAATTGGTATGTTTTATTTCCTTCACAATCGGTCCATAATGGTAATTTTCTTGTTTTGCAGTTGTAGACTTGTTCAGTTTCCACCTTATTCCAGTGTCCCATAATATAACCATTTGACCATAGTAATTAATGAAACTTGTTTAACGATGAATAACCTGAATTTCCTTTCATCAGGACGAGATCTTCAACTCATGACGGAAAATGTTCATTTTTTTTAAAGTATGAAATCTTCATTAGAAGGCGTTGATAATTGCATATGGTAATCCCATGTTCAGAACTCTAATGCTAATCCCATATGCTCATAGACGAGCTGGGAGAGCTCAAATGATAGCAATCAGAGCGAAATATCTTGAAAGCGTATTTGAACATTATACTGCCAAGTTCATTACAATAGTTTATTACAATTCACATATTTTAGTTTTTCTACCGTTCTAAACATTTAAGACCTTCATACATTCTTCGCTATGCGGGATGAGCCGCATCTCAGTCAATTGCACTGACGTTTCGGCCATCTTACTGTGGCCGTCGTCAGAGCTATAATCCGAAGAAACTCTGCCGAAACGTCAGCCCAATTGGCCGATACGCGGCTCGTCCCGGATAGCCTAGAATGTATTGACTTCGACTTGCTTACGAAAGCATTTAAGACCTTCTCTTAATTCAAAGACACGATAAATTATATCATGTGGGATTTTGCACCTTTTAGCTTTTATTGTGCACGTTTTAGAGCGAGTCCACGAATAATATCCGTCCTCTTCTCCAGATGAGCTCCCGTTTTCATTATAAGTGTTCGTTCTTGATACTCATCTTTTCACACTAAACTTATCTTCACGCTCTAACAAAGTTCGATCGTATCTCCCACGCTTTAGTCACGTTTCCTTCATGATGCCACGAAGTTTTCATCGTCTTTCCTGACGATCTCATCGAATCATATTCGTCCAGAAAAACCTGAATTTTGCGTGATATAATCAAATTGAAACCTTGCGTACGTTGAGAGATTTTATAGAAAAAGAAGAATAAATTATTTGTGCTACAAAACCTTAATTGAATGAGTGAAAACCAGCATGATATTAGTGACATTTTATACATTTTGAGAAAACGTGTTTATTTTAGGCTAATTTTCAGTGGTTTTAATGTGAGTTTTCGTGGGTTTAATGAACAATTGTCGTGGTTTTTAAGATGAAATAAAGCACCAAAATTTTTTAGTAATAAAGACTTAAAAAAATAGATTTTTCTGAATTTATAAAATGTCACTTATACCGTACATTCATTTGATTTTTTTAATTTTAAAATTTATTG